ATTACATTAAGTCTAAATCCAAGTTTTCATAACATCTTGCATTAACATTATTTCCCTGAATGAATCCTCTATTCCGTAGAGAATAATCTACTTTTCTACATTTGTATAATCTGTCCCCTCCATTCTTCTCCCCCCTGCACTGTACCATTCCCCTGTCCTATAGAGTCCTTCTAGGTTGGCAGTAATGACAATGTCAGAGTGAGCCTGGGACATTTCCTATTATGGTGCCCCAGTCTATTTTAGAACACTTGCCACTTTTTGCTTTATATTATATTGTCTACAGCTTTTTATATGTCAGCCTTAACTATGAAGTGAGACTCTAATTTCATTGCTGATAACACCTACCATATATAGATAGAAGATAGATAGATAGATAGATAGATAGATAGATAGATAGATAGATAGATAATCTTTTTTTCAGTGCCTGGAATAGTATCTTCCATGTACTGCATGATTAGAAGAACTTATTCAATTAATAAATGTTAGATTGAGCGAATTTCTGTTTGAATCTAAGACATTTGAAAAAGCACTCTGAAATGATAGTAGATGATTTAGAGTAAGAATTTGATGCATTTGACATGTGAAAAATTGCCTTGATGAAATTATTTGGGTGACCTAACTATTATGGCCCATTTTCTTACTTCCAAGCTAATATTGCTGGCAATAAGACTAAACCATTTGGTGAATCCACTTTAATCTATGAATGGCACATGCCTTCCTCACAGGATGTAATTTTGAGAGTCCTTAAATGCTTATTTTCTCTATTCCCTCTCACCTAAGACTTTAAAAATGAATCATTACTAAAATAGGTTTGATGTCTTTATAATGTTGAAGGGTAAAAGCCCTTCATTTTTGTAGACTGAAAGTTGATAAATGCAATCATTCCTTAAGAGCCCAAGAACAGTTTTTTTTCCCTGTATTAATGCTTCAAAGAACGTATTGTTTTCCTCTGACTTCTTCCTTATTTAAAAACAACAACAAAACTACATATTTCACTGATATAAGTTAAGAATACATCTTTTGACATGTTGACGAGTGCTGAATTTTCATTTAAAAATGATGTATTTGGAATCTTTGGAAAAGAGAGTGGCTTCTGTGCTGGTTTTATCTTCAAATGGTCGTGAGCTACTTTGGGCTGTAGGGTTTAGGAGATTTCTAAATTTGTGTCGCAAAAAAGATTTACCTTCTGCAGATGATGTAGAAAATGAAAGTTGAAATGGTTTTATTTCCTTTAGATAATATTTAATTTGCCTTTAATCCTAAAGGACTAGAGAGAGAGGAGGGAGAGAGAGAGAGAGAGAGAGAGAAAGAGGAATTTTAAATTTGAGTCACATATCTCCCAAGAACTATTCTGAGATTTGTTCTATTCTCAAAATTGAAAGCCAAGTGAGTTAATTGAATGTTATCACACCTTGAAGCTAAGTACAATTTGAGTTTGAAATATGGGACTCTTTCCTCTTTCTGGAATAATCAGTTTTAGAGTTCTAACTTGTTAAAAAGCTAATCAATTACCGTCCATCCTAAAAAGCAAAGTAGACTTACCCCAAAATACTGGATATATGTGTGTTCCATTATACCTATTACAATGCTCACTTAACTGGCACTTCTTGATAGCTGTTGAAATAAATGAGTCTAACTGAATTCCAGTTTGTTTTCTTTATATATTCAGCTAAACCAAAAAGAAGACAACAAATCAAACCTATGCAGCTCTGTAAGAACAAATTAAACAATGACTAATTGTGTTTTGAAGCTTTCTACATTGCTAAAAATGGTGGACTCAATACTCCTTCCCCTTTCTACCCATATTTCTGACTACAATGTGGTATACAAAGTATCTCAGTCAAAGTACTTGTTAGTATTTAATGGCTGCATTGTGTCCATTAAATCATCATTTGTAGAGGCGCCTTGATGGCTCAGTTGGTTAAGTGTCCGACATCAGCTCAGGTCATCATCTCACGGTTCATGGCCCCACGTAAGGGCTCTGTGCTGACAGCTCTCTCAGAACCTGGAGCCTGTCTTTGGATTCTGTGTCTCCTTCTCTCTCTGACCCTTCCCTGCTCATGCTGTCTCTCTCTCAAAAATAAATAAAACATTAAAAAATTTTAAAAATATAAATCATCATTTGTAGCATTTTGATTTAGAACTAACAATTTTGTCTTCTCTGTGTAAAGACCTTTGTGAATCAGCCCTCATTACGGACAGTCCTAAAGATTAGCCTGAGACTGGATACAAAATAAAGGCTAATTGTTCACATGTTAAGTACTAAAATTTTGTATATACATCACATATTTGCATATCAATATCCAAGTCACTACTTTAAATATTCTTTTACTGTCCAATATTTTTTAAGAAGTCGTGTGTGTGTGTGTGTGTGTGTGTGTGGTTATATGAATGCAATATCCCTCAGAATATTTTTCTTCTTGTACCAGGCTAAGGAAAAGTCATAAGTTAATTTTTATAAAGCCTTATTTTATGGATAATTTTGTTGTTGATCTCCACCTAAAATCTGTGTTTGTACAGATTTCTCATAGAAAAAATTTTTGACAATACATCTTTAGTGATTCATGCAAGATCTATCTCAACTAAGGCTTACAAAACGTGTTTTTCGAGACATGAGTGATTCCATAGCTGATTCTGTATGGAGTCACATGATTTATAACTGTCTGCAGCTACTAAATACTCAGAGTTGATATGCAAACTCTTTGCCCACTAAAGTTTTTGAGAATGTTCTTTTGACACTGACAAACTGGAGTTTTTAAAGCAAGATATTAAGTGTTAAAATTACTTCAGTCTATTTGCAGAGAATTTCTATCATTTTTTTCTTTACTCAAAGTAGCAGAATTAAAAAAAAGACCTAATTTATACTTATAATGATATAACTGCCTAATTTCAGAGTTCATATAAAATATAGCACTTGAAATCCTTACACTAACAAATTCTAGAATAAATCAACATAGAAACATAATATTTCAGGGCTACAAAAGCTCTATTTTGCTTCCATATTAGATTTAATATTAGGGGCTTAGATGAAATCCGTTATTATTATAATGTGTAATAAAAATTAGATGGATCTGGGGCACTTGGGTGGCTCAGTCATTTAAGCTTTCAAATCTTAATTTTAGCTCAGGTCATGATCTCACATTTCATGAGTTCAAGCCCTGCATTGGGCTCTGTACTGACAGTGCAGAGCCTGGTTGGGATTCTGTCTCTCACTTCCTCTCTGCCCCTTCCGTGCTCTCTCTATTTCAAAATAAATAAAAACTTTAAAAGCAAACAAGCAAACAAACAAGCAAATAGAATTAGATGGATTTGAGGTGTTTTTTTTTTTTTCTCATAAAAAAATGCAATCAGGAAAGCATTTTAGTTCTCAAAACCATGTAGAGGACCTTGTCTTTTATGAAAATGGTTAAATATACACATAGAGTTTCATCTTTCACACCCTCCTCTGTAAAGTTACCGGGTGAATATTAAGAAAATGAACCAAACAACATCAAACAACACAAAGCAAAATAAAGGTTGTGAATAGTTTATCAAAAATCGAAATCCAAAGCCTAATGTAATGGAGTTCCAAAACCTGACCTTCCAGCTCCTCCTTGCATATAGAAAAGTCCTAAGACCAGAATCCATAGTCGTCTCCAAAGGGGGACCCTATGTGGAGGGTGAATGTAGTCCAACATTAGTATAATCAGAGTATGTGTCTCCAGAGGTTATTACCCAAACAAAGCCCCTTCGTATTTCTCCTGATACAGCTTTATACCGGAATCCACACCATTACTATATAAAAAATGATAAAGCAGCATCTGGAAAGCTAAAATGTTGTAAAAAGCTTAAATTAAATTTTATTCCTCAGGCTTAGAACACAGAATTATTCAAGTTAAACTTACTTACTTCCCATTCCTCTAAACGGAAATATGATAGCAGGGCAGTTGCAAACAGAGGCAAAATTTAAATTTTGCACATAGGTAGAATCAGACAGAAATTTCCATGTAAATTTTGAGGACACTAGATTTTGATAAATTTCAAAGAGCAAAGGAAAAATTCCTCCTTGAGATAATTATTAATTTGTGGATTTCCAAATTTCAATCTATCTGCAATACATAAATATGGTAATATTTGGAGGACAGGACTATTATGCTTATTTGAATACCAATAGCAACAACAGCAAATATTATCTAAACAATTTTAGGAAAAAAGAACCCAAGAAATTTGAAGAAAATTAGTTTATTTGGGAAAATACCAAAATAATTAAACTTGTGTATTATATGTTTAGTTAGCAGTTGCTTTACTGTTGAAAGTTTTATGAAATTCTCTCATGATAATATAATATTTTATTCAAATGTGTGGAGCTATATATTTATAAGCTAATAGACTTAGAAAATCAGATAGTGCCTGCAAGCCTTTACATAAGAGAACACTTTGCAGTGCACAAAGCATTTTTACAGATGCTTATTTATCCTCACACATACCCAGGAGACAGGCAAGAAGTTTTTACCACCTCTAGTCTGCAGTTTGGGACCCTGAAGCTCAGAGACTTTGAGGCACGTTTCCAAGGATAATAACTCTGAATCTCCTATATTTTTGGCTTCAGTTTTATACATTTTGCTATAGATCCCAAACAGATAAGAACGAAACAGCCAGTGAGACAAGGACTATCTGAACATGTGTAAGGAATAAAGGTCAGTCAATTCAAAGTCTATAAGAATTACCCAAATAGAGAACCATCTTTTCAGATTACATTGCTATCGTGTGAGGTACATATAAATAAGCAAATGAGACCGACGTCTAAACCAACCTGTGAAATGTCCAACAACTAACTTTAGGTATCGGAATGATCAAAACTGTGGACTTAAATGTACGGAAGCAAATGGACTGGAAAAAATAATTGAGCTTTCTAATGTTTTATGGAGGATAAGGTGTGTGGCTATTTTTTAAAGTAAATCTTTCCCTGACATATCAGATTATCTGAGTGTATCTTACTGAATCCATTCATTCTATCCATTAAAAAAAAAAAAAAAAAAAACAAGGGTGGGGGTTCTTTTGTGAAAATGAAGGAGGGCAGGCAGGACAGAGACAGTGGTCTCTGTGGTTCAGAGCAGTGCACGGTAAGTGCACAGAAGTTGCATACATTAGAGAGCAAGCAGCAAGTCCCCATGTTCCATCAATTTCCTATGGAGAAAAGAAGTGGGGAGGGCAAAGGAAAATGGCGCATACAAGTCCACGAAGGCATGGCCACGTGTGCTGAATAAACCTCATGGCATTTGTACATAACACAATGCTAATAAGATCTTGCACAGTAACAGACTGTGAGGCTCAAGAGTCCACACAGAGAAGTGGAAAATGAGGTCCCAATTACCCGCACAAGCTTCATTTTGCAGTTTACCACCCCTACTCCTGTGTGATTTTGAACCTTTCGGTTTAGTTTTGCCTTTGAAAAGAAATCACAAGATATTGAAACAAATGTCATTGTTTGGCTTCATTCAGGGATTCTTAATTAAAGAGTACCACAGACTTTATTGAGCAATTGAAAATATACACAAGGAACAATAGCTTTTACTCTATTTTTTTTTTTGTTTTGTTTTGTTTTGTTTTCAATTTGACTTTCTTCTGATTAAATGACCCATTTTCGATCATGAAAAGGGCACTTGTTTCTACAGTAGCTGCGGACAGCTTGCTCAGTTCCAAGTACTGTTTCCACGTGTCTTCCTTGCCATTGCTGAGGTTATATCTCCACTTGCTCAGGAAGCGAATTCTAGAACGTTTATAGAACGTTTACAAGAATTAAGCCCCTAAGTTGTTCTTTCAGATTCTATTTCTCCATAGAGTTCGGCTAACTTTTTAAATTCGGGTCCCCAGTCTCCAAGGTAGTGATAATCCTGGTCTGACTGTGTCGTTGCTGAATCCAGGGAGCTGATGGACCCAGCCTCCGATCTCTGACCTTCGTAGGCATAAGTCTGAAGAGAGTCATAAGGTGGGACGCTGGGGTCTAGATCGGCTTCCGCCAGTTTTTGCTTAAGAAACTCCTGGACATCTATACTTTCCAGGGTGGACAATGTCTGGTGTCTGGGGGTGAGTTTCACTTCGGGTCTGATATCTCTCCGATACTTGAGCTCCTCGGCAGCAGACGGATTCCTCAAGGCTGTGATGTCAAAGGCCTCGGTGTCTTCCTCCCCACCCCCCTCGTCATCATAGGTGACCACATTCTCTCTCACGTCCTCCTCTGAGATGATCAGAGGCTCTTTTTTGCTGCGTCTCAGGGTGATAAAAAGTACCACGATTGCTAAAGAAAAATGGAAAGAGGAGGAAGAGTTAGAAAAAAGGAAGGAAATTCTTGGAGATTTGACATCAGCAATGTCATCAACTACATTTCATTTAGGCAGGCATTATAACACAGCCCTCATGTCTGCACTCTCTGGAAAATATTTGAAGTGATTGTTTGTTTGTTGTTGGTTATTTTTTATCATCTCAAGGAATGTAAAAAAAAAAAAAAAGATTATCCCCTATCACTGAGGACCATCGATCTTCTCTAGAAAAACATAAGATTCTCAATGGTCAGGGCTTATGTATTCAGGATTCTTGGTTCACTATGGTCTAACCATCTGGTCTTCACACTGAGGCAAACAGATGATGGAAGAGCAATATGGAATTTTGGCTGGAAGAATAGTGGTATATGTTATTCTATGTATGGATTCTTAATCCTTCTAGGTATATTACACTAAAGAAGGATGTTTTAAGTTTCTTTTAAATAGGAAGAAGGAGTGCCTACCTTAAACCCTTTACTTTTGATGCTTTGTAGGAAACCTAAGCAGGGATATTTTACATAGTTGATCTCTCTTTTCCATTACCCTTTAGAATAATATTATCAGGTATTCATAACTGCATATATCTATCAATCTGTACAAGATGTTTGCTTTGTTTTTTTAAATTTTTTATTCATTTTGGAGAGAAAGAGAGAGAGAGACAGAGTATGAGCAGGGGAGGGGCAGAAGAGAGAGAGGGAGATACAGAATCTGAAGCAGGCCCCAGGCTCTGGGCTGTCAGAGCCCAATGTAGATCTCAAACTCGTGAACCATGAGACCATGGTCTGAGCCAAAGCCGGAAGCTTAACTATCTGACCCACCAAGGAGCCCCTTGATGTTAGTTTATTTGTACCTACTTTTGTTTCATAGGAAGCTTTCAGGTTACAAATGTTTTTTTATATAATTTTTTGATTTAATCTTCATGGCAAACTGTGGGTTTCCTCAGGGAAACTGAGGCTCAAGAGAAATTACATGAAAGACTAAGATCCAAGTCTAAGTTTAGACTTAGTGACTTATGGAAGTGACTGATGGAAGAACTTAGACTATAATCTATGATTTCTCATACCAAAGGGGATGAAGTTTCCATTACCATATCCCATTCTGTTATTTAAAAGAAATACAGAATGAGGAACTGAGTGAGCCGCTGGGCATGTGGATTATTACCAATAATGTCACAACCATTAGATGAAATAATGTAAATAGGTCTTGAGCACTTTCCTTTGGGTGTTTCTCAGTATTTTCACATCTATCTATTTGATGATACTAAGCCATTACTAAATAGAAAGCATTACTTCACTTCTATTTTGTGCTATTAGGCCAAATATTCTTTACTTCAGCTCTACAGAATGTTCTCAGTCAGCTGGTATTCAAGGTTTTATGATAGCAGTTACCAGGTTCATTAGTATTAACATTCTTTACAGTATAATAATCAAAGGAGTACATTCAAATGGCATGTGGAACACATATATGTGTATATGTGTATACATAGTATACATATATATACACACAGCGATAAATATACATATATAGAAACAAAATGTTTATAATTAGCATGTGACATACTTATGCTATTATAGTCACATACACCCCAAATATACACCTGTAGACATACATATTTATCAGAAATTCATATTTTTTAGTGTATATTTATTTATTTTGAGAGAAAGAGAGAGAACGCAATATGGGGTAGGGGAGGTGCAGAGAGAATCCCAAGCAGTCTCCATGCTGTCAGTGCAGAGCCCAACATAAGGCTTGAACTCACAAACTGTGGGATCATGACCTGAGCCGATATCAAAAGTCTGATGCTTGGGGCACCTGGGTGGCTCAGGCAGTTGAGTGGATGACTTTACCTCAGGTCATGATCTAACAGTTGGTGGGTTCAAGCCCCACATCGGGCTCTGCGCTGACAGCACAGAGCCTGCTTTGGATTCTCTGTCTCCCTCTGTAGCTGCCCCTCCCCTGGTTGCTGGTGTGCTCTCTCTCTCTCTCTCTCTAAAAAATAAACATTAAAAAAATTTTTAAAAATAGTCTAATGCTTAACTGATTGAGCCACCCAGGCATCCTGAAATTCACATTTCTATTTTGTTTTTTTTTAATCTATTTATTTCTGTCAACTGTATTTTATCTGGCAGCCTTAACAATGTGTATCTTGGAAAACAAACAAATGCCAAGTTAGCTATCCTCTGTTAAAGAACATACCTAGTTCTAGTACCCTAGAAATTGACTTTTTCCCTCATACCTCTAAAAAGTAACTTCGACCCTTATTTTATCATTACTGTTTCCTTGTTTCTCTTGTAATTTAACCCATTTTTATGGATATCTCTAAATAACACAATAAATGAGATTTGTCTATTTTTAAACTAGATATTGTAGTGTGCATGAGCTTTTACGATGACAATAGAAAAAGGAAAAGTAGATTTTCAAGCCATAAGTGCAAGGGATAATTGTGTGAGAGAAGTTCACTATATGTGGAAAGAGATGGTTACAGTGTACTGGAGAATCTAATTTTACAGAGAAAAGGCAAGGAGTGGCTCTCGGAATGAAGAAAAAAAGACAGAACACCTATAGAAAGGGTCAGAAAATCATTTTGAAAAGTACAGAGTAAAAAGATACTGACTAGGTAATAGCAGAACACAATGGGGGAGATTACGGCAGACATGGGGAAGCGGTGAGTCACTGTGTTTGGAGTACAATGCTTATCGAAAGCTGGAAATGAAAAGCTGGTGCTACATGTGACCCTGCTTCACTAATGTTATGCTATTTAAAAATAGTTTTCCAGATATGCTGCTTATACTTCAAAGACATTATCTAATATAGCACTTCATTGCTGGGGGTGGGGAGAACACAGAATTTTGCTGAATGCAGCAAATATGCATCTAATACCTTCCTATTTATTTTAGTACAAATCCCACTTAAAGCTTTCTAATTCAATGCCCTGAACAGTATCCTCAAGTAACTTACTTCATTCTATTCAGAGGTGAAGATTTATCATCCAATATATATGTTCGGTTCATCTTTATGATTAAGTAAAGAAGGTTGTTCTAACTTAAATCATCTATTTCTACAGACTGCCTAATTTATTATAGTAAAATGTCTTACCTTTGTTAATAAATCAAGTTACTTTTCTTTTTTATTTGTCTGAATCCTCTTTATTTTTTTATTATTTTTAAATTTACATCCAAGTTAGTTAGCATCTAGTTCAACAATGATTTCAGGAGTAGATTCCTTAATGCCCCTTACCTATTTAGCCCATCCCCCCTTCCCACAACATCTCAAGTTTCTTTTCTTTATATTAAATTGGTTGGTTGTTGATTTCAAGGCAATTTATGTACATATGTAACAGGGAAAATGCTATCAACATTATTATCAAATTGTGGATGTAATTTGTGTCCTTCACCAATATTAGTGCCATATTTGCCTAATGAAATATTGGACATCATGCTAGCTTTTTTATTATAGTTACATAAATATAGTATTATTATAATTATATAAATATAATAAACTTATATTTGCTTATTTTCCCAAATTAAAAAATATTCTTGATATATTTTGATTCAAAATATAGATATTAAGTTTGAACTTATGAAGTTTTACCTATATCTCTTTTGTAGGCATAGATAATCATTTGTTAGTGACCAACGATTTCTAGGTTTTTTTTTTAACTAAATACTTTTTAACTAGATTTTTAAAATAATTTTTTTTTTTTTTTATTTTTTATTTTTTTAAATGTTTTATTTATTTCCAGGAGAGAGAGAGAGAGAGAGCGTGAGCAGGGGAGGGTCAGAGAGAGAGGGAGTCGTAGACTGAAACAGGCTCCAGGCTCTGAGCTGGCAGCCAGCACAGAGCCCGACGCGGGGCTCGAACCCACGAACCGCGAGTACATGACCTAAGCGAAAGTCGGACGCTTAACCGACTAAGCCACCCAGGCGCCCCAATTTTTAAAATAATTTTTAACTAGATTTTTTAACTAACATAGTCAACATATAATTAACTGTATACTCTGAGACACTTTTAAGACTGAAAGGGGATTTTGTTTATAATTACTATAAGACCTCATGGCAAAATTGGACAGGCAGTCCCTCTAGTCGAAGGCAATTTTAAATAAACTCAGAGAAGAATGTGGAAACAGATAAGAAGGTGTGTTCCCAGTGAATCGCTTTACATTCATGTTTGTTCAGTAGATGTTTTTGGTGCAGACGGCACCAGGTAGATACTCCATAAACAATTCTTATGTGGATGGACAAAAGAATAATCTCAGGGCATCTCGGTGGCTCGTTCGGTTAAGCATCTGACTCTTGAACTTGTCTCAGGTCATGATATCACAGTTTGAGTTCAAGCCCCATATCAGGTGAAGAGCTTGCTTGGGATTTTCTTTCTCTCTCTCTCTCTCTCTCTCTCTGCCCCTCCCCTATTCATGCTTGCTTTCTTGCTCTCTTTTTCTCTCTCTGAAAATAAATACATAAACCTGAAAAAAATCAAAAGAGTAATCTCTGTGAAAGTGATGATGTGACATTGTGTTAAGTGAATCTTCATGAATGATAATAGCCTCATTAGGAAATAATTTTTAAATCAGTTTATGGTCATTAATTATATCAAACACCTGCTTTTGCTTGATAACATGTTATAATGTTGAAAACCAAACTAAATGCTTCCCAAAACATCCCATGTCCAAATACATTTTAACAGAATGAAAATAATAATTATTCACATAAATATGAGTGTTAAACTCTTATTTAAAAATTGTAGCCAAAAGAGTGTCTTCAAATGACTCTTCTCCCCCCTTCCCACAGTCAATCAAACCACACATGTGAAACAAGGTGCCTTTTAAGTGGTCATCTGCGAGGAGAGAATGTGATGGAGCCATGGCATTGAAAAAGAAATGGGATACAGCTCTTAACCTCTTTGTTCAAGATTATATGAGTTTCAGTATTTGTGAGTTTTATATAATGCGGATTGAAACAATAAACTGTAGTATTTTGGAGAGGACTTTATTTTTTTCACATTTATTTAATTTTGGGAGAAAGCCAGAGAACAGGAGCAGGGACTGGGACAGATAAAGAGAAGAAAACAGAGGATACAAAGCAAGCTCTGTGCTGAGAGCAGAAAGCCTGACACAGGACTCGAACTCCTGAATTATGAGATCATGACTTGAGCGTAAGTCAAACGCTTAGCCAACTGAGTCACCCACATGTCCTGGGGAGGACTTTATTCTAATGATTATTTCATTCCGGGTTAGTATATTTCACTTTCTTCTCTTTCAGTTTGATCAGGATTTTAAATCCATTGTATTCTTTTTATTTAAGAATTTTAAAATGAACTTATTGAGTTTTCCTAATTCATTTTATTTAGAAAGGAATTTAAATTTGGGGAAACATTTTTATATTTCCATTCTCACATCATTCACTCATTCATTTATTCATCTATTTATATATGATTCCAATGTGCCTGGAGTTCTAAAGGGGTCTGAGTTTTGAAAAGTTGAATTGTCATACAGCTTGCATTTGAATACATTCCATACTGACTCCCAATATATCCCCCAAATATTTTTCAGAGCAGATTTATTGCTCATATAAGCATTTCATTCTTTTTAATATGATCATATGTGGGTACTGAGTTTGGTAGAAAGGAGGTGGCCCAAGTTAGAAAGATTACTTTTATTAGCTCTTGTGCTATTGGTCATACCCATTAGTTAGTGACACTTTGTTTTTCTTTTAAAGTTTATTTATTTATTTTGACAGAGAGAGAACATGTGAGGGTAAGAGAGAGAAGGAGCGAGACAAAATCCTAAGCAGGCTCCGCAATGTTAGTGCAAAGCCCAACGTGGGGCTTGAACTCAGAAATGGTGAGATCACGACCTGAGCCAAAATCAAGAGTCAGGCACTCAACCGACTCACCAGCTCCACCCTTCTCTCCTAGTCCCTCAACCTCTCACATCAAATCCACCCTGGTCCTCATTTATCGGGAAATTTATATCCAAGAGTAGGAACACTCCAGCTGGTGGACTCATTGAAGTCACATTTTTTTAATGTGATGTGTGGACTTATGGGTAGTCTGAGTCAGAGCCAGATTTAAAGGTTTGTTGTGTCCCACCAGTGACTGAGGTTTGCTCTGCTGCCTGCTCTGGACCCTCTCACACGTGATGGGGTGAGGTTGGGAAAGAAAGGTCATATCTCTGGAAGGGAAAGAGAATTCCAGCTATCCCTTCCTCTACAACCAAGTTCTGAGTGCATCATGAAGGCTCACCCTAAATTCTCTCCCATTCATCCTATTTAAAAAGGATCTTAAAGAGATAATCCTGATGGAACATAACTCAACTCAAAACTTGCACATCTACCATTCCAAGTGAGTTTCATTAGTTTTCAAGCACCAATTTCAGATAATTAATACACACTTAGATGTAGTCTGACCATACTGCAAAATACGGAATCATTTTTATCCTGTAAGAAAACAGAATTTTATAGATGACTCTAATGTTCTTTTCCAGTTGATGATTTATTATTATAAGATTTGTATATAGAAACAGGAGACTGTATAGGTTGCCTGAGATCATATGGTTAATTAATGGCAAAACTAGGGCTGTGTTTATACAAGTCATTTCCACAAACAGTTAATAAATAAAACATTTCAATATTAAAATATTAGTTTCATAACTTGTTTAGCTGTTAGTTTTTAACATTATTTCAGAATTACAAAAAGTTCTACAATAAAGTTTTGCTATCACTGGTATAGCTGATATTTTCCTTGAAAATTATAACATTGCACGTTAGCCAACATTATTTCAATATTACAAATGATTACATTCTAAGTCTGTTGAATAGGTATCTTCTGAATAACAATAAAAACCCTTATAATGCCATGAATAATTAAAATTACATTATAAATAATAGTTGTTTAAACCAAACTTAAGAAATTATTCTGCAACCTTTAGATAAAACTGTAAAAACACATCTGAGTTTCAATAAAAATGGAAAGAGTAAACATATTAAATAACACCTTTTTTCCATTAGTCCTGAGGGAGAGCATAAAATTTAGAATGTTTTCTTATTTATCCCCGAGGAGAAATGACATTTTCATAAAGTCAATTAAAGGGAAGTATTGTTTCATGAAGAAATCAACCGTTATTTTACATAGTATACCTTACATGTACCTGTATATTAACATTTTTCAATTAGCTTTTTAAACCTTTACCTTAGCATTCAAAAATGGTTTTATAGTAACAAATGAAAACAAAAGGCAAAGCTAATGTGACTCCTCTAAATGAACTATCTTTCAGAATAAGGACTTTCGAGGAAATGATACTAAAGTTACCGGGTTCTATTCTTTATGGTTTAGGTTAGAAACCTAGAGGGATCCATATGTGTAGCTGTTTTATTTTATTTTCCATTTTGGTTTTGTTTATGATCTTTTGTTCTAATTTTCAAATGCCAAAAATGTAATACGTAAATGTCTAAAGCAAATATATATATACGTAATATATATTTATATATATATTTAAATAGAAAATAAATATATATGTAAAGCAAATATCAGTTGTGACCAATCAATATACATATAAATAAAACTGAGAAAGCCTGATTTTGCTGGTTTCCTTCTCCACCAGGCTTCGAGTAAGATGGTACTGCAGGGAAACACATCGAAGGTGATGCACCGAATCCCCATGCTCCCCATTGCTAAGTGCAGTCGGTATGCTTAGATACACAATTTATTTAACCTCTGAGCAGCTTCTGATATTGCTGAATAGTCTATCCTCTTTGATATATTATTTTTTCCTTTGGCCGTGATGACGTTATACTTTACACTTATTCCTCCTTCTTCTCTGACCTTCCCTTCCCTCTGTCCTGTTGGCACATCCTTCTTGACACCGTGACCACATTTGAGCTCAACACAGCTCAGCCTTGATTATCATTTCTGTCTTTATATTTGGCTGTAGTGACTTCAACAACATGCACTTCGGATGCTGCCAGCTGAGCGAGGATTGGTGTCCACATTCAGTAAGAGATGAAAAGTCCTTTGAACCTCTTCTAACTCAGACAATATCTATCTAATTTACCCAAGATCACTTTTTCCCCCCTGGCTATTGTATTGTAGCCTTTGAAAAATTGTTTCAAGGAAAACATACTATTGGGGCACCTGAGTGGCTCAGTAGGTTGAGCATCCAACTCTTGCTTTTGGCTCAGGTCATGATCTCATGGTTTGTGAGTTAGAGCCACACACTGGGTTTGGCACTGATGGTGGGGAGCCTGCTTGGGATTCTCTCTCTCTCCCTCTCTTTCTGTCCCTTGTACTCTTTCTTTTTTAAAATAAATAAATAAACTTAAATTTAAAAATTAAAAAAGAAAAATATACATGTCATAAACATTAGATATTAGTTCACTGACATGAAATTCTGAATGTTGCAGTTTTCAAATGAATCACAGGTACTTTCATTTATCATTCTGTTAAGATTTTGACAAAAACTGTTCATCTAGGGATCTGAATCATATGGGCCAAGATCACTTTTTATTTCACCTAAAACATTTTGATACTATCTACTATTCTTCACCTCTGCTCTAACTATGCTAGTCGAAGACGAGTGAGAAAGACAAACACACTCTTGTCTTAATTGCTTCGCCTGTGTACTCTCTCTCCATCATGAGGCCTGTTCCTTACTTCATTTATACCAATCTTTTTTCAAATGTGAATGTTATGAATGGAGCCTCTTGCTTGAAAGGTCTCTTGACACTCCTAGAAAAAAAACCTCCCATCTACCATGTTCGATGGAGCCCCAAACTATCTCACTGCTCCCTAAACATCCAGTCGATTTCCTGGCCTCTTTCTACCTTGCTCTCTACTCCTTCTATACTGGTGATTTGCCTTTAACCTCAGGAACAAAACAAGAACACTCCTTGCCAAAAAAAAATCTGTCTCAGTAAATCATACAGTTTTTTTTTTTTCCCCACATGTACACAGTGCTGAAAAAATGAGCAAATGATAAGGATGCTAAGAGAAAGGAAGAAGATAGTGGCTGGAAAAATAAATATCTACCTACTTTCAACAAAAATGAAGGATTCTTTACATCTACTTCTCTTGTTATAAAAAATGGGATTTGTGTTCTTGTTGAAATAGTGATTCTAAAGAGGTTACAGTAATAGCTTCAAATGTGGCTGTGGTAAGACTTAGACTTTTAAGATGATAATATATAATTAGAGAAAGTTTCTTATTTGTATTAAAATGAAATATAATACAAATCTCAAATAGAAATTCTATTAAACTTAATAAAATTTAATGTCTTTAAGGCCAAAATTATTCAGACTTTGTACTTTAAAATTCAGCTAACATTGATGATTATTTTAGGGGAATAGAAATTTCCACAAGAAATCTATTTTTATATGGTGTTTAGATTCATTTTAGAATGATGTCACTTGTGTTCTTTGAAATATATTGTAAAAGCTCCTTTAATGCGGTGTTTGGAATTTTTAATATCAATTATTTCCCAAATAGATCCTTTCCAAAAAGATTTCTCTCTTAGCCTTTCCCTTCTTCTTACATTTCAACTCTTTCACTCACACTTGAATCAAATTCTTTCTCCATCAGCTTTGGTATTGAGAACGTTAATTAAAAAGAAGTCTGTGCTGCTATACTTTGTGGTCTTTGTGGTCCAAGTTTTGTGTTCCTAATTTTTAAGTTCTGTCAAAGTCACTTTCATTGTCTTTTTTCTAATGCACTTCTGGCCACCATAGGGTACATTCAGAATCACCGTCATACAACATTAGGAGTCAGGATGACTTACCTAGGAGAATGACAACACACAGCAGAATAGCGATTAAGGCTCCTGTACTCAAGCCAGCCGAGGACAGGAACGCTTCCGCATGGCAGGTCCGCACGCGCCCATCTCTCTCGCATGCACAAACCCTGACGGTGAGGGTACTGCTGCTGCTGAGAGAGGGGATTCCACCATCAGAGATCATAATGGGGAGATAATACACATCCTGAATAGTTCGACTAAATCTCCTCCGCCTTGTCAGAATGCTGGCTGTGTTATCTATGACAGACATAAGCAAAACAAAATGTACTTAGTAAAGCCGCCGTTCAAGATTCACATTTCCTTTAATGGATAACATGGGTATGTGTTTTTATTGTTTTAATTAGTTCATGAAATGGACAAAGGGACATGAAGGGGCGATCATTAAAGAATGACTAATATATGTTCTTTAATTGAGATACTGACTTGGAAAATTAATTGAGCCCAAATTTAGAGAAAGGAAAGGGCGGAAGACAGGGAAGTGAAGAAGCATCAACATTTTGGACATGGACATGAAGGCAAAAAGACTGAAAAGGATATAGAATCAAGTCAATGGGTCCTAAACTTTGAAATGAGACAGTGGTCCCTACATCAACCAGATCAATTAATAAACTTTTTCAGATTTAGTTGTGATGTGAAGCACTCTTGTTATATGGTAGGCATACCATAGAAAGTTAATGAGGGTTAAAATAGTTAATTCTACTTTTTATGTGCTTTCAAAATGCTATATATTACATTAATTGTTTGCATGATCAATCTGTGGATTATAGGTTACAGAGGCAAGATGTTAAATTTCTTATATTTTAGCAAAATCATTTTTACTATATATAATAATGAAAAAATAAATAATCTGAGCCCCAGAGGATAAATCACCCAAAGATATAGAGCTTGTAAATAATTAGGATACAACCCCAATACATTCCAAAAACCATAACATCACACTGCCTTTTTACCAATTCACTTCTAATTATACTGATGCTCTCAAGTGCACATAGTATATGGTTATCTTAGTATTGTTATTTTCACTCCAGCAAGTTTGTTCGTCAATAGGCCCTTTTGGTATACACTTAGATGTGCTGTGCAGATCCAGTGCATCAAATAACTAGTTGCCCTGGTTGTAGATTAGTGCCTGGCCCTGTGTTGCATCCTTCTGGAGCAGCTCATCATCAATGACTCATTGCTTTCAAGGTTATACAGGTGGACCCATCTCCACTGAATGTAGACCTACTGAATGCCAGGAATAGTTCCAGAGCTTTGCTATTGGGTTGACTGTGAGGCATTAAATTTGCACAGCAGTCCAATTTCTCACTCTGCTCAACCTGTTTCCTTCCACTGCCCACAGATGTTGATCCCAAGGGCACATTCCAGTAAACAACCTGCCCTTGAAACTCCATGTCAGAGCTTCCAGAGAACCTAACCTGCAAATACACCTATGAGTTAAATTACTTTTCACTAAAAAGTAAGTGAATCATTAGACAATTACATTTAGGGATTCTTTTATCTTATCAATGTTTTTTAAATTCTGAAAATTGAAATTCTATTACCAATGAGCATGTTTAAGACAGATATGATAAAATACCCTACAGTTATATTTTCTTGACTTTACACTGCCAAATTAATGCCATAGAAAGATAACACTTTTCAAATATTCAATGTAATAAAGTAATCAACACATGCATCATATACGTTTTTATAGTCATATGCACATATGATCATATATGTACACATAAACATATGCTTAGAGGTTTGTTAAGAGCATACATAATCTAATGACAAATTACAAAATATTTTCTTACCCAGTAGAAAAGGGAAAAAATGTATCGATTGTCTATTCTGAAGCAAGTTGAGAATGAGAAAGAAAAAGAGCCAAAATTGGATCATGTGTATTGTATAATTACAAAAGCCATGAGCCCTTTCCCAGAGACCTGAGCTTTGAGGCAGCACATCCCTCAGATGTAGAACGCTGCTTCATGGTTATTATAAACTTGCCTATATTTACAGCTCCTTAGTCTATGGAAAAGGTATGAACTAAGTGTTCACAGGCACAAATATGTTTGAGAATCTCACTGCTGGCCTCTGAAGAAGAGATGTAAGGTCCTGGTCCCTGATTGCAATAAACATGGTTAGTAACGTGTGGAATGATATAACATGAATGGTAGGTGTGGGCCCCCTTTTATGGCTCTGATCTAGTCTACATGTTACATTCTTAATCTGGAAGCATACTCTCTTTCAGAATAATTACCGGAAATGCAATCAGAAACATGATCAGAAACAAGGAGAAAGACAGAAAATGTTTCTAGTACACCTTAAGTTCTTAAATAGAAAACACTCAGACATAGAGATGTAAAACTGTTCTTTCTTTCTTTTTTTTCCAGTTGAAGGTTTGACTTTTGAAAGAAAAGAGAATTCAGGAAGCAAAGAGCTTCCGACCTAGAAAGACTTAGTAGAGCAGAATAATGAGCTCCTGAAAAGGGATATTGTGTACCTAACTGGAACTGCAAAAAAATTTACTTGGCTGAAGGCTCACTGAACTTGAACAAGAAAACTCTGAACTAAAAGGAAAGAGGTAAGATATATATATATATATATATATATATATATGTATGTATACATACATAAACATACACACACACACATATATACACACAAATGTACTTTAATACAGTGAACAAATTTTGTGTTGTTGAAACTGCAAGATTAGGTTTCAAGAGCAACAACAAATTTCTAAACTTAAAGTATAATTAAAAAAATAAACCAAGTAATATAGAAAATCTTCACTTCCAAGTGGATAAAAATATACAAGCTTAATACAGGTCAACCATAACAGGAAGGGACATGAAAAGTGCTAATTATCAATGGCATATAAAGGACAGTCTCTACAATGTTTACCCAAGGTTGGTCCTTAATTCTAATTCTCCATAGTTTGAATGGAGATAGATGCTCATAGAACTCTTGGAAGCCAAGAAATATATACTTGGCTAGTATTCTAGAACATATTGGACAGCTAGCAGAAAGAACTTCAGCTAAAACAATGTGAATAAAGATGCATATTAGATGAGTAAAAATATCATATGAGAGATCTGGAGTAACAGCTTTTATTTTATAATATGTATCTCTGAATGCAGGAATAAGGACATAGGACGTTCAGATAAACCAAACAGTATTGGAATCATTCAGTAAAGGTATGGAATATCTATGCCTCTCTTTAGTGAGAAGACTGCACTGAAATTCTGTGCATACTTTCCGGTATACCACCTTAAAAGTTCTATTTTAACCCAAAAGGGGTGTATTGAGAGACTTTGGGATGGTAAAATAAAATTGAAAAATATGTTACATAAAGAGTTTTTGAAGCAAAAGTGTGAAAATTCTACATATCGGATATAGATTTAGGTGGTGACCAAAGGGTCTCAGAAAAAACGGCCAGAACATAGGGAGACTCTCTTAGTCATTAATGTTTTTTGGCATATAATCAATATATCCCTGATATTCCCAGCAACTCTATCTTCAATGTAATTTGGAAATAGCCTTAAATGTGTTTTATTTTTTCAACACAGATGTCAAAGCATTCTATATTTTGATATATGTTCTATTTACTTTTCTTTTTTTAAAAAAATAATGTTTTTTTTATTTCTGAGAGAGGGAGAGAGACAGCATGAGCAGGGGAGGGTCAGAGAGGGAGGGAGATACAGAATCCGAAACAGGCTCCAGGCTCTGAGCTGGCTGTCAGCACAGAGCCCGACGTGGGGCTCGAACCCACGAACGTGAGATCATGACCTGAGCCAAAGTCAGACACTTAACTGACTGAGCCACCCAGGTGCCCCCTATTTCTTTTTCTTAAATGACTATGACCCATATGAGAGGAAGTAGGGAGACTGCTCTACAGATATGTAATATCTAACTCATGTAGACAGTTTAAAAATAGCATGTGATGACTGGGAAAAGCAATCGTAATAAGAAAAAAATTCACTTTGGAGCTGTAATAACTCCAGGGACTTTATACCTGGCTGATAATCCACAACAAAATATTTACAATAAAATGTTTTGTGAATTGATAGGTACACTTGCATCCTCTATGCTACTACAGGGACAGAAGCCTACAGAATATGATAGTATAATGCAAGTTGCATACTGCTTCTAGAATTCAGACGGAATTTTCTTGAACTAATAGCATGTGTCCTATTCTTTTTTTGATCAGTATTTTGAAAGACCTTGAAAGATTCCAATCTCTGTGCTACTTGTATGAGTTGTAATACAGCTTAAGTTGAAATAAGGGATGCTTTTTAAATACCCCCTCTGAGGCAAAACAGATCCTATATTAAAGTCCAAAATTTCCTTATATCTTGGTAAGTATTAAAACTATGTGTTCTTCACAATTTTGATTATTGGACATCCATACACTCCCTGCCATTTGACAGGATTCTTTGTTTGATAATACAGGTATAAAGATAGGCTTTATCTTAATCACAGCCAGCAGATCATTAAAATAATATTTCTAAATCCATCAGAACAGCACAAGTATTTATGATCCCCAGATATGAATCTCTAATTGAACTAAACTTAAAATTTTTTTTTTAAATCTGTCTGAAGAGAAAGCTAGGAAATAGAAACTTAATTTTACCAGACAGATAAATATGCATGACTTCATATTGTTTTCATTTTTTTCCTGATTCCGGCAGCAATATGATGTACTCATAATTTAACTATTATCAGAGCCCATGCATGAAACAATGCTCTTTTGCTTTCCTGTACAGCTCCTCTCACATAATAGGTACTTGATAAATAATGATTTGAACTACACTCAGCAGGAACTTGTCTTCTGCTGCTGTTTCTTTATTATGTTGACATGTATTAAGACATTAAAAGGAAAATGAACTTACATATCCTGTAACACTTCAGCAGCATTATCTGCTCATGCTCTCTATTAAATGCTTATTGCTTCTCTCCTGCTTCCTGACTTCCCCCTTCTTTTACCCTAGAATTGCCCTAATATCAATTCTCAGATGCCTGATTCTGCCTGTTCATTTAAGTTTGTAAACATCCTCCTCGCTTTGCTTGCTTTTCTGCCAAACAACGAATGTATGATCCAATATGTCATTATGTTCTTATTTGTACCCTGGAATGTCAACCCTTTGACCATCTGCCACACTCCTTGATAATCTTTAAATCCCAGATAAATACAACCATCCACTGTCTAAGGCTTCTGCTTTCAGAATCGTTACAAAACTATGTTAGTAAAATAG